GAGTAACGGCTAGTTAGCACGCTACTGAGTTACGGCGTTACCAACAGAGCTCATTAACATAAACAGCTCTTCTGAACAGAAGTCAGAGCAGCAGAACTAGAAAATGGGAAATTTTATTATCTGAGAATTATTTTGTGCATTAAATTGAATGAACATGGTCTGGATAGCCCACAGACATACCATAAACATTTCTAGGACCCATAATTGGTCTCCTTTAAAGCCCTGTTGTGTCTGTATTTACCCTCTCGAGGGCTGAAGTCATCAGATCAGAATCTTTGGTACCACTTTACAATAAGGCTCCCCTTATAGATGGCTTATAAATTGATTATAGATAGGTTATTGATTCATCTGTAAACACTTTATAAATCATTAATAAATGTTTATTATGAATTAATTAAGAACTGAAAAGAGACAAAACTGTCCGATTTCTTGACAAATAGTGAGCCAAATCTGTTCATGTACATAGGTTTGTAAGTACAACTATGTATTGGGAACACATATTTAAAAAATAATATTGTACTATATTACTGAATTATACGTATTAACAACTGTCAAAGGGAGCCTTATTGTAAAATGTAAGACAGTAGGTACACTATTAATGACTAATAAACTTGTATAAATGCCATAAAGGAGCCTTACTGTAAATCAGGGGTTTTTAACCTTTTTGACCTCGGGGCCCAATTTGTTGAACATAAAGTGACACGATTCAGTGAGTCAGATATTACCAATGTATGGATCAAAATTATGATTATTATAAATTTTGGTTTAATTTTATTGTATTTGCATTATAACTAAACTATCATAACTAACATAACTAAATAAAATACACAGAGTTTAAAAGTAAAATTCCTGTCAAATGATCACAAGACATGATTATGACAAACATTTTTATATTGTAACCTGCCCATAACATTTATTTGAACAAATACAAAGGTCAGTCAACAGACCACTCAGGCTTATCAGCACAAAAATATATATGTCATAAAAAGAAAATTGTGGGCATAAAATAAATGAATTAAAAATGTTTAATGTAAATGTTTTTTAAAAAACTGTAAAAATAAGTTTGATAAAGTACAAATGAAAATAAAGCCTTTTTAAACTTTTGCCACCAGAAGCTGCTCTTCATATTAGTGACAAACAATAACAGTAACAACAGCTTTTTGACAAGTTTAAAGTTTCTTTAAAATGCATTCAAAATATTAAAAATAAACTACAAGAATTAATTTAAAGTACAAATTAAAATATAGTTGTATCTGCAACTGTATTTGATAATGTTTTGAACTTTTAAAATATTGCATGGTAAAAACAGAAGCTGTACTTCATATTAGTGACAAATTTTGGTGTTTTCTGACAGGTTACCTTTATTTTTCTTTCTACTTTTCATTTAAAATAGGTTTCCATTATCGGCAGGTTTCTAAGGTTCTTCTTCTACATATTAAAAAAGTTGTTAAACAACTGAGTGGCGCATTACTGCTACTAGTGTTGAGAAAGTGTATTGCATGTTATTTAAAATCACTGTGGTCCTGCGGCCCTCTGTGGCCCAAAGTTAAAAACTGTTGTTCTTTTGAGGCCCTCAAGGTGGTGCTCGGCCCATGGGTTAAGAATATCCGCTGTAAATGACATTATTAGTCATTAATAAATAGTATACTGTTTTACACTTTACAATAAGGCACCCTTTGATTACTGTGGATATGTATAATGCGGTAATACAGTACAATATTACATGTAAAATATGTGTTTTCCATAAATTATTGTGCTTACAAGGTAGTAAACTAGTCTGAAATGTTTAATAAAGCACCTTTAGATGTAATATATATGTTAACAGTTTTGCCTCAATATTTGGCTAGAAACTGGACAATTCTGTCTGTTTCCCGTCTTAATTGATGAATAATAAACACTTATTAACGATTTATAAAGTGTTTACAGATGAATTAATAACCAATCTACAAACTATTTATTAGCCATCTATAAGGGGAGCCTTATTGCAAAGTGGTACCGATTCTTTTAACAGTTCCCTTCACTCACTTTAAGTCGAGAGGTGATCGCTCCTTCCAGGCCGTTGCTCCAAAGCTCTGGAATGATCTTCTGCACTCTATACGTACACTTGATTCTGTGGTTGCCTTTAAGAGCAAACTTAAAACTTTCCTTCTTTATAAAGCTTTTTAACAATTTCAGTACGTTTTCTGTTTCTCAGTTGTTGATTTATGATGTTGTTGATGTTTTTATTGTCTTATTTTTCTGTATAATTTTTGCACTTTTCTAAAGCACTTTGTGACCCTCTATATCTGTGAAAGTGCTATAGAAATAAACTTTTACTTACTTACATTGTGGGTATAGCACAGCAAAACATTGTCAGTTAGTGAAACACACACATATGAACAATACAGTATGTGTCCTGATGCATCTCAGTAATCCAGGTAAAAAATCAAAAAGAAAAAAATTATATAGGTCTTCTGGACGGGTTCTTCTCTAATGAAACGTTTCGTCTCTCCTCCAAGAGACTTCTTCAGTCTGAGAGTTTCAGGCTAAATTCAGGCTTTTAAGCACTGCCTCCAAACAGCAAGAAAGAAGGCGGACTACAGGAACCACCTAAGATTCAATCTCCGCTGCAGACAAAGTGGCAT